TGCCATTTTTTACATCTTCTCGTGTGAACTTGATGTATTTATCCACAGAGTTGATGTGGTCAGTAAAATGTTGGACTTCCTGAGATTTAATTTTAACCCAGGTGTCGTCAACATACCTGAACCAATGACTTGGTGGTGTCCCTGAAAAGGACGTCAAGGCTCTCTTTTCTACCTCCTCCATGTACAGGTTGGCAACAATAGGAGAAACTGGAGACCCCATAGCACACCCATGTTTCTGCCTATAATATTGCTCCCCATATGTGAAGTAGGTTGACTGCAGGCACAGTTTCAAGAGTTGACACAGTTGTTCTGTGGAAAGCGTGGTCCTGCTGCTCAGAGTGGTGTCTGATTTTAATTTTAAACTGACCACCTCTACTGCATCCTCAACAGGAATGCACGTAAAGAGTGATGTGACATCAAAAGAGACCATTGTTTCATCAGTCTCCATGATGACATCCCTCACCTTATCCACAAAGTCCATGGTGTTCTGTATGTGGTGTTCTGAGCTGCCAACTAAAGGGATGAGTACAGACGCCAGATATTTGGAAACATTGTAAGTGACAGAGTTGATCATGCTAACGATTGGTCTTAAAGGTACACCTTGTTTGTGGATTTTAGGTAAACCATAAAGACTAGGTGTGGCCTCCCCTGGGTACAGTCTGTGGTACAGAAAACGGTCAATAGCCTTGTCCTGCTCCAAAATTTTCAGGCAATCTATCAATTTCTTCTTGTAACCACTTCCTGGATCTCTTTTCAGAGGTTCATAAGTGTTTACGTCACTAAGGAGTGTCATAACTTTCTCATGATAGTCTTTCTGGTTCAAAATCACTGTGCACCTTCCTTTGTCTGCTGGGAGAATGATGATGTTTTTGTCCTTGCTAAGAGTGGTGAGTGCATCCCTCTCCTCTCTACTGATGTTGGAAGGTGGTGGTTTGGCATTGCTGAGGCAGGATGAAACTTTGATTCTGAGCTGTTCTGCTTCAGCCTCTTTAATTTTGTTGTTGCGGATGGCTGACTCAGTAGCTGTGATCATCTCCACCAGAGGAATTCTACTTGGTGCAACCGCAAAGTTCAGTCCCCTGACAAGAATCTCTGTCTCTGGCTGGGTGAGCTGTCTGTCAGATAAATTCTTCACCCACTTTTCTGTCTCCCTGGCATGTAATTGACTACTGGAGTGTTGTCCTACACTGAATGTGTTGTTATTGGAATAGTGATGTTGTTGATGAGTTATTAGTAAGTTAAACTTGTTTTGTTGTCGAGTCTTGGACTTGACATGCTGTGCTAAGCGTGCCTGATCTGTACAGTCCATCACTTGCTGAAGTGTGGTCTGATCTAGACACATAGTTAGTTTCTGTTTAATGTGCTCTTCTTTGGCCTTCAAGGCCTCAATAGTAAAATTGGTCTGTCTCACCCGTTCATTCAGCAGCTGTGTTTGTGCCTTCTGAAGGATCTTGCTTGCCCGGTGCCCGCTGACCGAAGATTTTAGTTCCAGGCTCTTGGGAATGATGCCACTTTGTCGACATCTGAGGTTGAATCGCAAATGGTTCCTGTAGTCTGCCCTCTTCCTTGCTGTTTTCTCAAACTCTCTAACTAGTTTGAGGCAATCCTGGCCAAAGTGGTTCAAAATATCCTGATGCATGCTCAATAATCCAGGTAGAAAAATCTAAAAAAGTTAAATCTGGTCCTCTGGACATTCAAAAAAAATGTTGTTGTTGTTGTTTTGCTTTGTTTTTTTTTGTTTTGTTTTTTTTTTTGAATGTCCAGAGGACCAGATTTAACTTTTTTAGATTTTTCTACCTGGATTATTGAGCATGCATCAGGGTAACCTAACTTTGTTCCATCTACATGCGCTACCTTTGTTTGCCCACCTGGCTGTCTGTGTAAAGACCATTAAGTATGACAATGTTGAGAGACCGCCCACAATCCTTTGAAATCAAATCCAGAGGATTGTCACATGAAAAGCAAACACACGAGCAGTCTAATTGTGAGGAAGTAAAAATTACTAGGACTGGGTGATGACATCTTGTCACGCCACCTTTTTATTGTTTAGTTTTTTTCATCTTCAAACTAACAGTGTGTTTTCTGTGACCTCTATGGCTTTGATTTTACTCCCTTCAGGTTTTGTGTGGAATTCAAACTAGAGTCACGGACTCCGCACTGCACCGCGGAGAACCGGCCTCACACACTCTGGATGCGCTACATTACAGAAGGCTTCAAAGTGTGTGTGGCCTGTGAACCTCCTGCCAAGCGAAACACAAGCGGCAGCTGCCAAGGAGACGGCCAGGAATCAGACGAGTATGAAATTATTTGGTTTTCAAAAGCATTTATTGTACATTGAGCTGCAACTATATTCATTTAGCTTGTTATTTGTTTATTTTGTTGCTATACCACCTTAATTAGAGACTTTTCCAGCAGTTATACATCAGATATCTTCAGATTTAGCCCAGGGGTGTGCAACCTCCATATGTGGCTCTTTAGTCCCTCATCGACAGCTCTTTGAAGCTTGGACCAAAAATTAGTGAAATTTATTTGAATTGATTTTTATACCCACAACAAAAAAGGATAGTTTGGGCAGTTTTGTGGTCAAGTTTTGCCCGATGAATACAGTAGTCCCTCACTACTTCAAGGTTCATTTATCGCGGACTCGCTCTATCGAGGTTTTTCAAAATATGATTGGACATGACGCGCAAATGGGTGATTGACGGATGTGCTGCACAATCGGCATGGAACTTTTTATTTAAAATGAATTGTTTTAAATTATTTCGCACCTGCTGCACATTTGGGTGGTCCATACTGCAGGATAAACTTCCCGCTGCAGCTGCTCTTCATGCGGAGCAGAAAAGTGGGCGTGGCCAAGAACACTTGCAGGTGGCAGAGAGCAGCCGAAGCAGGGAGCTGAAATCATGACATTCTGTGCTCTTTTAGAGAGTTTAGAAACATTGTTTTAATATTGCGAGTGTGTGGTGTTAAAAAAAAATACACACAGTCCTTTTCCAAAAAAATTAGAATATCATGGAAAAGTTGTTTAACTCCCATAATTCCATTCGAAAAGTTAATCTTTTATAGATGATAGATTCAGGGCCCACAATTTAAACAATTTCAAGTATTTTATTTTTACATAATTTGGGCTTCCATCTCATGAAACTCACGAAAACAGGATTTAAAAAAATTTAGAGTACTGTGGAGAAATCAGCCCAAATGTTGCAGGGCATGAATGTTTTAAACTGAGTGTGACACGAATCATCTACTAAACTCAAAGCACCTGCACAGGTTTCCCCAGATGTCATTAAATTTCTTCAGTTCGGTTCCATAAAAAAGCTCCCCTCAAACAAACTCTGTGGTCTACGGACCATAAGTTGATAATCACTTTGAGCAGGTTTTGCAGCTCCAGACGTGTTTTATTTAGTGAGCGAAGGGGCAGAAATTGTTCTTTTGATCAATACGGTTGCAGACCTCTGATTTAGCCGGTGGAACTTTTGTCCATTCTCAATAGTTCTTCAGGCTGGAAGGGTCCTGCTTTTGTCCAAAAGTCTTTAAATCAAACCACTTTAAACCAGTGGAGTGTTGCTTCGGCTGTTTATTTAGGGTCGTCGTTCTGCTGAAAAGTGAACCACACCAGTTTCAAACCTATTCAAAACTCAAGTTTCTCTTGAGATTTTCTCGACATCTGGCTCCAGCCATCTTTCCCAGTCCCTGCCGATTAAAAACGTCCCCGCAGCATCGCTGCCACCACCATGCTTCACCATAGGGATGGTGTTCTCAGCGTGGAGTGGTGGTAAATTTGCACGACATGGTGTCGTCGATGGTCTAAAAGTTGACCACAGCACCTTCTTCCAAAAAAATCCCAAACAGCAACCGCCCCCCCTTCTTTATAGGCAATTCTTTTTGTTGCCACTTTTCCATGAAGCCCAGTTCTGTAGTGTCCTATGAACAGATCTTCTCATCTCTGTAGAAGTGGCTCAGCTCCAGAATCATCATCTCTGGCCTCCTGGATATTTATGATTGATGCCTTCGTTACCTAGTCCATTATTTTAGATCGACATCTCTTGGCAGCCCTGAGGTTCATCTTTCCATTAATGAATAGAGGAGCTCTGTAGGATGTTCAGGGTACTGGAAAACGTTTCTTACCCAACCATGACATGCACTTCCTCACATCTTTGTCTCTGATCTTTGAGGACAGTTCCATCATGTCTCTTTCTTGATGCACTGCTGTTGATTTTGGAGATTTTCAGAACAGATTAATTTAATTTGATAGATCCAGATTAACACTTTGGTTGCTCACAGGTGGATCTTGGTTACTAAATTGTAGCTTCTGAATGTAACAGTTGGGACTTAAAAATCATATGCACCAATGTTCAGACGACTTGATGTGAAACTAATGAAGTGTAACTGTGTTGCAGAGAAGCTGTGCTCCACTGGCAGGCAGTGGGGAACCCTCAGTGCAGAGGAACATGGAAGAAGGTCCAGAAAACTCAAACGTGCACCTGCCCAACACAACACAGATTTGTCTTCACCTGATTCTCAGAGGACGTGCACTGCAGAGAACCGACATGGACTGTGCAGATCAGATGCTGCAACCAAAGGATTTCAACACAAGATGAAACTGTGTTCCATTACAATTTTCGTAATTTAAAAGCATACCCGAGTCACCACTAATCTTTTCTGTTCATTATCTACAAGGCTGATTTTTGTACAATCTATTGCTTATTTTATATTCTTGCAGAAATATTTATTATCAAAATTATAATAAAACATTTACAATAAAAAAAAATTCAAGACCCAACTTAAAAATGGCCAGGTTTATTCGTCTTGGGCGCCCTCTTGTGGTAAAATGGATAAAAACACAAATTAGCAAACCATGGTACAACAAAGCTGAGAACTTTTCAGAAAAATACACACACACACAAATTGGCTGAAAGAACTACACCACGGCACGAGTCATTTTTTTTACAAACTACAATACACTGAATGGGGGCGGGGCTCTTCTTTCTTCACCTCACTTCAAGTGCGCATTCAATAAAACCCTCCAGCGGTCTTTAAGCATCGTGCCAGTACGTCCTTCAAAGTCATAATCCTTTAGGATGAGAGACCACTTTCCCACTCCGTGACATTTTACACCATCTTCAAGACGTTTATCCAGGCGGGGGGTCCATTTCTAAACGGGACAAAACACCAACTCTAGATTTCTGCTTTTTAAAGAATTCAGCTCAAATGAGATGCATCAGGAAGGAACAGCATAAACTGGACTTTGTATTTTGACTTACTTCACGTGCTTTTCTTTTATTAATCACCCTGGAAGTATCCATGGACTTCGCAGATGTCACCTGAAATAACTCTTGATTCCGGAAGGATTAAAAATGTTTCAGTGTTATTGTGACCTAACTGTGTTCTAGTAAATATTTGTTAGTTTCATTAATGCCAGACGGCAGCAAAGCCGGGACAAACAAACCCATACCTTGTCTGGAGAGTCGTTTCACGGAAACAGAAGACCTCTTGATGGCATCGGGAATCCAGAAATCAGAACTTGCAGAAGGCAGTAGTTTCCGTTTTGATCTGTAAAAATGTGACGATTATTTTTATCCACACATCAGGCGCCACGTGCGTAAGAAAATCATTTCATACTTTTTATTCTTCTGCACTGATTTATTTGAGTTTGAGCAATTACTGTCCTGCGACACCTCATCCTCCATGTCTGGAGAGGACTGGACCACCTCTGTAGCTGCCTGCGAAACAAACGGATGCATTCATGTATGGACGACTGCAAGTCAAAGTTGAAATGTAATAATTATGAACATGCGTGTGACTGCAAGACTGAGCTTTAAACGATTTCTCCAAACTGCAACATATATTCATAATGAGACGTATGCACACCAGATTTCAAATCATTTTCAAATCCAATGTTCTATTAACGTAAAAACATCTTAAATCTTCGCCGCCATTTTGTAGTTTTTTTGAATTAATGAATGGATTTTGAATTATGTTCATATTGCTTCCTAACCTCTAGAGATTAAGATTAGGAGTGTTGTTGGACAAACAAAAAATAAGTAATCCCCTTGTAATGCTGCCACATCATTTATGTCCATGTTAGTGGACGTAAACTTTGTCCGAAGCTAGATTAAAACGTTATCCTTCATAATCTTGTCAAAGTAACTTTCTCGGGTCAGTGCTGCAAAACTGATGACGCCTTTCATTACAACACCCTCTAATTATGACCTCCTGGAGGTCAGCAGCTTCTTTGTAAAATATTAATGACAGTTTTCTGAATAAGTGAGTCTGTCAAACCCTCAGGAACAAACCCCACAGTTTGACCTTACAACTAATTTAATGACAAACTAAGTGAGAGATCACATCACGTTAGCACATTCTGAAAGGAATGATGTAGCTTAGGAGACGAACGACTCAAAATATCGGAATATTTACAAGAGAAATAAAACTGACAGGCAGCTGTTCTCTACACAGAACATATTAAGCAATTAAATGTGGAAAACAATCAAACTAAGAATGCACTTCATGCAGTTTTGAAGTGAGCGTCACACCGAAGTTCAAATTAATTTAAAATGAGGCTGGAAAACTTGTGTTCCTGCTTTCAGCGCAAAACATATTCTCTCAAAAATCTGATTTTCTCCAACCCAATGAGCCAAAAGAGAAAAAAACAAAAAAAGCTCTATGTGTTGAAAATATTTTTGTTACAAGGGAGTGAGGATGAGATAGAAAGTGATTTTTGAATTGTTGTATTTTCTTTTTATATTTTTTTCTACTTCTGAAATTATGGTTCAGCATTAAAGCACTGGAAGTAAAAACGCTTCAGAAGATTTACTGCTCCCTCTGGTCAGAGAGACTCCAGCTCCGGGAGGAAAACGCACCATCTTTCTAGAATATCTCAAACTCCAATGCATATTAGAAAACGGTTCTACTGCATTTCTCAAAGGTTCAACAGATAAAACTCAGTTATTTACCTTGAGAAGATAATCAGATGGATTCTTCTTCAAGTATGTATCCAAGTAGGACTGGATCGACTCCAGCAGGCGGTCGAAGCTGAAGCTCCTGAGCAATGGGTGGTAAGTTTCCATCTTTGTCACGACAGTTGTCAGCTTAACTCTTACGTTCTGTTACAAAAAAAAGTTTCATTTTAAGCATTTAAAATGTACTATCCTGGGCTAGCAAAGTGTAAAATAATGGCCTTTTACTTAGAAAATTAAAAGTCATGAAAACATGCAGACCTGCGGACATTCACGGGACTTTTCCAACCACTTAAGGGCAGAGGAGGCCGAGGACTTGCTGCCTTGCTCAAGGCAGACAGCCACAGACTAGAAACAGGACAACTGTTTACACGCATAAGAATTCAACTAGAAATTACTAATTATTTTGTTCATGATATCCTAACAACATTACATTTAAAACATTCAACAGCAAAGACGAACCCAATTGTTGTAATTCTTGGTACAAATTGTGCATTTTCTCCTTTAAAACACGTGTAAAAAAAAAAAAAAAAAATCAAAGTACAGCGGAACTACCTGGACGAGCAAAAGAACGGTGACGCTTTGGAACAAACTGTCATCGTCCACAGTGTGTTTGAGGTCCGACCATAATTTGGCAGCAGACGTCAGAGGCATCGCAGAGTTTCCCTCTTCAAACTGGACATCTGGGGAAAGACGGCTGGTTACCGTTTGTGTTAACAGAGACAATGGCGAGAAGAACAGTCTTTATTTTGAATCACACACACCCCCTCTTTTTACAAGTAGTAAAAACTATAGAATAGAACTGGAAATTGCCTCCAACTGAGTGTTTTGGGTGAAAAATAATGATCTTAATAAAACCTTTACAGGATATTTTAAGAAATGCGTATTCCATACAGAAATGAACTAGCAATGACAAGTGAGAACTTTGACATTAGAAGGGGAGAGACACTAGAGGAATAACTTGTAGGATATCTCTTTATCATTCACAACAGATGTACAGAAATGTTCAAGTATGTAACTAAATACTAATACTAAGTGTAGAAGGGTTTATTTCCACTTCTGTCTGCAAGAACTTACCCAGTTCTTTTCCGTGCATGACTCTTGCTAGGAAGGCACATATCAGTATTTTATCTTTATGAGCAGCTCCTTTCAGACAATCATCCTGAGAAATAGCTGAGGAAAAGCAGAAATAAATACAAAACATCAAACAGGCAACCTTTTTTAGTCGTGTGCTTGTCTACAAATCCCTGCCAGTATATAATCTTAGGAGACCACCTTACATCTAAATCAATTTGAACTCAGAATATTTCAGTTTGGCTATTTTAACTGCTGTCAGTGTACCATGTTCTTTCACTAAGACATGTTTATATTATTCCTCTAATTCCTCCACATTACTTCAGCTCCATAATTCAAATCAGTGTTATTATTTTTGAGATCATTCATACACAAATGGGACACACATCAGAGGCAATGAGGGGTTCAGTGTCTTGCCCAGGGACATTTCAATATGTGACTGGTGGAATCGAACTGCTCTAACCACTCAGCCACAACTGCCCAGTACCAAATATACTTTTGAAATAGGCTAAACCATGACTTTAATAAGACAGTTATGGTCATGGTTGATTTTTCTTAATAAATGCAGACTCATAAATACATTTATTTGTATACACGTATACATTATTTCAACTGCCAATATTTTAACTTAAACCATAATTTTTACGTTAAGTAGAAATTATTAAACAAGAAAGTAAGTATATTTTCCAACATTAGCCAACGTTTATTTATTGAGTTACGCTAAAATGGCATCGCTTTAGGAACTACCTACAGTTGGTTATTGTAGCTACTCGGGTCAGTTTAGAGGGAGCACAGTCAAGTTTTGTTTACATGTACTGTATATGTACAATATTTTATCTGAAATAAATCTTCCATTTTATATTAAATCTCACATTATTACAGAAACATGTAATCGTTGCTCCAGTAATTCAGTCAAACAAACATTCGGGGTTCTTTTTGAACGGTTTTAAAAACAAACGTAGCATAAAATAAAATTTACAACACAGGGAAAGTTATTTTGATCGACTTAAAAACATCGGAGAGCGTTTTGTAGTTTAGAAAACGACCTAGGTACAGACATAACTTAAAAGAAAGTTAACGATGATTATGTTGTACTCACCCTCAACAACTGAAAGCGTCTTACTGAATTCATCGAGGTTTCCCTCCTTAAAGCGCCGACATAACGTAATAAACAGAAAGTCCAACATCCACTCTGTGGCAACAGCGGAAACACGAGAAAAACTGGCCAGTTCTTCGGTCTTGTCCGCTTCAGAAACTGTTTCAGCTTCACCGTCAGACTCCATAGTTTCTTCTTCTTCTTCGTCTTGTGTTTTATGGCGGTTGGCAAGCAACGTTTAGATGTGCATTACCGCCATCTACTGGAATGGAGTATGGATCGGGATGCTAAATAATTACTATAGGTTTAACTAAATAAAATAATAAGAAAATAAGAGAAAAAAAAAAAAAAACTATATTCTCTCGATTATTTCCGTCTTCTTAAGGTAGCTTAACAAAAAAACAACAAGTTCAGAAGTGAGAAGTTTATCCAAAAGATCCTGTATATTCAACTGTACTTTGTTGACCTGTAGTCTATGTGCCAGTTCCTTCCTCTCAGCTGAATATTTGGGACAGAATAATAAAACATGATTCACTGTCTCTTCTTGAAAACAAAAGTCACATTTTCCTGTAGGATGTTTTCCCATTTTAAACAATGTACTGTTTAATCTTGTGTGGCCAAAACGCAATCTGGATATGACTGTTTCCTCCTTTCTATTTCGTCCTGTTCTCCTCATCACACCAACTTTCCTTTGAATGTTATAAAACCACCTGCCAGTTCTTTCTTCTTCCCACTGTTTCTGCCATCTTTCCTTCACCTTTTGTTTAATAACTGATTTGATTTCTCCTTTACTGAATGGTACCAGTATATCAATGTAAGTATTTTTTGTTGCTTGTTTTGCATATTTATCTGCCAACTCATTTCCTTGTATTCCTATATGTGATGGTATCCATATAAATGTAATTAATAAACCCATCGCTTGAATTCTATAAATTAATAATTGAATTTCTAATAAAAGGTCAGGTCTGCTGTCTGAATGATTATTTTTCAATGAGTATAATGAAGAACTTGAATCAGAACATATTATACTCCTTAATGGACGAACTTCCTCAATCCATCCCAGAGCTAAAATGATTCCCATCATCTCTCCTGTGTAGACTGAGACTCCATCAGTAATTCTTTTACCTGTTTTGAAACTGAATTCTGGAACAATGAATGAAACCCCGCTACTGTTATTTGAATTTTTTGATGCATCTGTATAAATTTTAACATATCCATAATACTTACTATCTAAATATGTTTGTATTGAATGAGAATCTGAAATGTTTTCTTTTTTACGATTTTCCAACAAAGTGAGATCAACATCACTATTACTTAAAAGAGATGGGTGAACTGGAGACTGAGGAACTGTTTGACTAATATTTATGTGAGATATATCTAAATCTTTTATAATGTTTTCTACAGTCCAGCCAAATGAATTTAATTTCTTTTTCTCTTTTTCCCAGCTAGGTTTTAAAATCTCTTGACATGGATGATTTCCATTATGACCTTTTTCCATAGTTTCTTCTTCTTCTTCTACGTTTTTGAGTCGTCTGTTGAATTTCCGCGCGCTTCTATTGATGTGACTTGAGACTGCAGCGACCTCTGGCGGTCGGAATGAGTAACTACACCCGTCGCTGATGTAAAATTTGGAAATTAACGGGATTATTTTCGAGTTTTTTTCTTTTGTTTTGTTGTACAGTATTCCAGTAATGTGCACAAGTGGAAAAAAAACGTGATTTTTAAAATACTGTTATTGTCAAACTCCAATAAAAAAAACCCCAGCACAATTATATTAATGTACACCTGCATCTTATTTTAATATGAACATTTTGCTCCTTTTTATGATGATGTCACAGTTTAGGCATGCTTTACCTTAATGTGCTCATCATTTTGCATGACCCAGCCTATGTTACCTTTAATTCTGCTTGTTTTCTGCCAAATTGCATTTTATTTATTTATTTTTACAAGTCATTTAACACATGTATGCCACCATTCTTTTCTTCTTTTATAATTTAAATCCAGTAAAAATAGCTACATGTAATGCAGTTCATTGCAACAACTCTAAAACATTTTTGTTTTACTATGTTTGTTAGACTATAAAAATGAAATAAGGTAACAACTTGTGGTCCAAACTACTCTTTTTATGGCATGGCCACACATTTGCTGATGCATGCCCTCATTTGACTTACACCCAAGTTGAAAAGTTTTATACTACGTAAACCTAAAAAAACGGTGCAAGCATTTTTCACACACCATAATCTTCACGAGTTTAAGCCTTCACACAAGTTTCAGACATTATTTTAAAATATGTTGAGGAATATCTACAGTAACAGTCCAATCCATGTTAGATTACAGATTATGCAACAGATGTAACCTTTTACGTAAAACAATAGACAAAGGCACTTGAGTTATATACACATTTATTTTTCTGCATAATGCTAATAGATGTAATGGGGAACAATGCTCTACAGAAATGTTGACATATGTGTACCGTAACAAATTCTTCGTGGTCACATAATTGCTCGGACTACAACATGCATACAGAGATGTTGCTTTGTATAGAAACAGTCTGTAGCTCAGATTATGTCAGATGATAAAGTCATCTCAAAGCTGAACAGAGAAAATAACCAAAAAAAAAAATTTGAAAGAGACAGAATATACAGATACATAAGAACAAACAAAGTTGCTTTATGCTGTTTTTGGGAGAAAGGTTTGGTAAGCACAGATGAGTGACACGGACAATGTACATTCTCTCAGAGAAAATAAAGACACAATATTTCCACTCTGAATCGCACCACCGATGAATAGTGAGACAATAAGACAGAGCACGGTCCTTTTCGCTGTCAGCTGGCAGAAATCACTTCCACACAAATTTCATCCTACCGGGAAATAGCTGATCAATCCAACTCCCCACTTTCTCTCCCCTTCCTGTCAAAAATGAAGGATCGTTCAAGGCTGCTACGGACGTATGATTACCAAAAAAAAACGAGGGGTGAAGGAAAACTAGGGGCAGAATTAAACAGCTTTTACACGAAGGTTCTCATGAAAACTCTTTTCTAAAGATTAAAAAAGGAAACAACTACTGCTGACTCCAATTTTTTAATTGGAGAGTGCCAAAAAGGTATACATATCGGCCATTTCACAAAGATGACTCTTTGAGTTCTTATGTGAATTTGTAAATACTGAGACAGCTTATGCTACTTTGGACATACAGTGTGTACTTACACACACAAAAAAACATGTATTAGAGTAATGAGAGTAATGCAAAGTGACAGTTTTCCTGTTATTAACGTTTTTCGCTGTTCCTGAGGGTTAGAGCCTCTAAAGCTGTGGGGATCTGAGTGGTCGGCACTGTAATCAGACGGATCAGCTGAAGGGCACTCAAGACCTCGTCCTGAATCTGGTCACTCTCCCTGCTTAATGGGCCTCTCCCTTTTGTTTGCACTCCTCCATACATCACTGAAGACTGATGGGGATGAATACTGAATGTAGGACACACATCTACCCAGAAGGAGGTTTAAATATTGTGGCTCCTTTAGTTCCAGGAGCCAAGACATCAACGTGAATTTGAGAACAGCTTTCAAAAAGTACAGAAATAGCAAGTTGACATTAGTTGTAAAAGAAAAATAAAATGAAACAAACTATCCCATGAGAACATCAGAGATTTATAGAAAACCTGAGAACTCAATACTTTACTTGTATCATTTACATAAAGACCTGATTTCTCCTATAAAATTAGAATTTTCTGTACAGTGCTATATGAACAAAGCAAAATGACTCGCTGCCTTCTCATAATAAGCCGTGTTATGAAAAGGTGGGCATCATTTCAACCACCGGATGGCAGGAAATTGTGGTGGTGCTCCATTTTGGTTTAGAAAAAATAGAACCACTCTCAGTGGTAATTCACTAAAAACACAAAATGCTTTGCTTGTGGCCGTTGGAGTTCGATTTTATCTTCCACAGACGTGCGTTTGGATTTTCATGGAAATCAAACAGCTATATAAAAGGCCCTGGTGGTCAATTTGGATCACTTTTTCCTACAAATACCCAAATTTGAGATCCACTGATGCCTGGCATTAAGGTGCTTTGACAGCATTTTAACAGCCATATAACAGAAAAAGTAAAATTCAAATTCTCATTTGCATTGTTTGTGAGTTTCCAGTAGCTATAACATTGTTTTTCATCATATTAAAGATATAACATTTTAACAAAATACAAGTCATTTCTGCCTGTACATTTATAAATTCCCATTGAAATAAAATAAAGTGCCACAATTCTTGGCCTGCATAGATTGCAGTATGCGGTATTGCACATTCCACACCTTTCTGTGAAAAAAACAATTAACAAACATAGATAAAGACATGTTGATAATAATAATAATAATAATAATAATAATGATAAAAACAATAAGTAACTCATCCATGTTCTTCTTGTCATTGCAATTCAGGTTTGTGTCACCTTCACAACTTCCAAGCACGCTCAGACAAGAGATAACCGACAACTATTCCAGAAAATAATAAAATAAAATGGAATCAAAGGCATCATACAAACAAACATTTTCAGTCAGTGTAAAACAAAAGCAAGAAGAAGACAAGAGAAACAGAATAAAATAAATTCCTTTGGGTTTAAGTTTGACTGAAAACAGCGATAAAACACGATAAAAGACACCACGACTTTGTATAGCGTGAGAAAACAAAAGTAAAAAGATGTCATAAGCTTGTCTGAAGGATTGGGTGAAGCTGCAGTAATGTGGAGACATTAGGGCGCAGAGGATAAGACAATGAGCTCAGTGCAGGTAAACAAACTGTAAGCAACAAACATAACTACTGTTATAACACGTTATAGTCATATATAGTAGGATGCAGCTGAGATAGGTGAAAGCTTGTAAGTGTGCTTCATTTGGTCCATTGATATTAGACATAATACTGTAATTTTATATGACTTTATCCCATTTTAATTGCCCGAATACATACTAATAAGTAAAGTGAATAGCTTCATTATTGACCAGATATATTGTGCTGAATTATCAGCTTATGGAGTCCCATTTAAAGCGATGGTTCGGATCTTTTGGGGTTCTTTGAAAAGGTACAAAACCCCAAATAAATTGCTGTCATCTTATTTAAATCTTTACGTTGTTGTGGGTTTCGCTCTACGCGGCGATCACGGTGAGTACAATCGGCCACAGCAGAAGATAGCTGTAGCACTTCTGGGGCACTTTGTGCGAATAACCACGTTATTCAAAGTTAATAGCGATATAAAGATTTACTGACTAGCTATTGTTTGAAATGATTTAAGTAGTTCAAGACTAAAGTAATTTTGAATTCGCGGTAGTCAACTTTGGCCTTGTTTGGACTCACCGGCTCATCAGTTTGATCAGAAATAAACAGATTTTCTAAATTGCAATCATTCAAAAAGCTATCTACAAGTAAGATATTTATTGTTCATAACCTTTCCTGTGAGTCCCACTTTTAAAGATATGAAGTTCTTTTTTCCTATAGCTAATCTAAGCCTACTAATTTATATTTTATTCTGTAAAGTACCTCTAGATATGAACGTTTTATGTCAGAGAGTATTTGGATGGGCTCAGATAGGGGTCTAAAACAGGGTCCTAACTTCTGAAGCTGTGTAATAAATATTTTAATTATATAACTAATAGTGCCTTGTTTTTACTGGATATGTACATTTTTTTGGCAACTGCAGTACAGGTGTGTGTGCTTTAGAGTAGAATTATTATTATTATTATTATTATTTATTGTTTATTTCAGTGAGTGAATATCAGATGCTCAAACTGAACCCTCAAAAGCTGCTATGAAAACTCAAAACAATAATGTCAGTGTTACATGTTCATACATTGTACAAGAAATAAACAAAAAAAAACATTTCAGAGTTGTCATGGGAACACTTTGCATTTCCACATAAGGTAATGATATGTTGTTTTGTTTTATAAATCGCTACGATGCAACACCCAGTTTGAGGGCTGTTGATTCAAACCCTCGCCTTTCCTTTTTCACATTACGGATGTGAGGACCTTCAGTCTTCTTTGCCATTCTGTGCATTGTCATTGCCTTACATGTTCTATTGTATTTACAGTGGAGCGCTTTCAGTAAACTCAGCACCATAAAATTTCTGTCTTTTTTTAAAAGCATGCTTTTTACAGTGAAGTCCTTTAGTGCATTTTCTCCTCCTCCAAGAAAAGGACTCTTCTATACATTGGGATGACTTGTGTCTGCATTAGTCGATGGATTCTTCGTTTTTCCAGAGCCTCCTCTTCCACCTTGAGCCCATTGTTTGCTCTAAAATCTGCACAAAGCACTGCAGTTTCTTTTTCAGCAAAACACAACAACACAAGTAAATAGACTTGTCATGCCATGCAAGAAAATCTTTCACAACAAACGGCATCTTTGAACTTTCTCCCACATGCCGGACTGCGGTTGTTGCAGGCGTACTGTCCCTTCCTGTTACATTCACATGCTGGTTTCACATGTTGGAGAGAGGCTGCCATTCCCAGGTATCAGGTGGATATCGGATGTGAATATGTGATTCTCTACTTTGTGTTCGCTAGAGTTGCTGTCAGTCTTTTCCTCTTCTGCTCCAACTACATTTTGAGTGCAATTTTGCGATGCGGTTTTGGGGGACAAGGGTGCAACTGCGGCACCTGCCTCTTCCATCAGATGCTTCTCTGTGTGGTTCTCTGTTGACTGATCTTCATCACCAGGTGGGGTGTCGATCAACAGCCTCTTAGGAGAGAGGTTGCATGTGCCATCATCTATGACTGGTAGAAGCTCCTGCGAATCAGCAATGAGTGGTGACGTCTCCCCTGTGGGGTATTCGACTTCTAAGATGCTGGAGCTGATATCACCAGGGGAGGTAGTGCTTGGTGGAGTGAGAGGACCTTCATTGGAAGGTTTTTGTAAGTCAAAATTTAACCCTTTTTCTTTTAGAGAATCTGTTGGATAGCTCTGGTTGTTCTCCACTGCACGGTTATAGCTCTCCCCTTCATCCAAATGATACTCTGATCCATCAACTGGGTTGACAGATTCATAGAAGTGATCTTTCACTAAGTTTATGGTGAAACTTGGGTCATCATTTGTTCTCAGTTGGCCAAAATCCAGAAAGGGTGGGGCTCTGGGATGTCTGATTTCATGTAACCTGGCATCATCTTCGCCTAGACTGGAGCTCTGTCCTGTGCAGTCTGCTGAACAGCTGGCAAAGTTATCTTTTGAACAAGACTGGACTTCTTTCATCTCGAGCTGCACCTCCTCTCTTAATGTAGATTCAGAGCTGTGAGATTTCTTTGGCGAGATGGGAGCGGTCACGGTTGTGCTGAGGGTGCTCATTGAGCTTGTAGTGTTGAGATTAGAGAAGGATTGGGACTTGGCCATCTGGTTGTACATTTCCTCCAGCTTCTGAACATTAAGGTGCTGTGGCGTCCTGCTAACGCGATGTGGACTTCCGGTGGTGGTGATGATTATGCGATGGGGAGAGCTTTGCTGTAGGAACTCTGCGTTTCGTTTGTCTGGGGATCTGAGGCTGCTTTCCGAGGTAGCATGCCTGGTTGAACCGCCCCAACGGCTCGGTGACAAGTGGTTGTCAAGGGATGTTTTGTCCTCTCCTTTTTCAACCACCACATCCATCAGCTCCATACTACGAGCAAAGGCATCTTTAAGGTTCATTGACACAATGCTGCCATTCCTTTTGGCTCTCTCCAGTGCCTCTCTCCTCTTGATGGCTTTCTCCTGCCTCTTCTGCTCCTTATAGAACTCTGAGAAGTTATTTACAATGATGGGGATTGGCAGGGCAATCACCAACACTCCTGCTATACAGCAGAGCCCACCCACAATCTTTCCAAGCAAAGTCTGTGGGTAAATGTCTCCATACCCCACTGTAGTCATTGTAATGGTTGCCCACCAGAACGAGGCAGGGATACTGGTGAATTTGGTGGCGTCTTCATCTTTCTCAGCAAAGAAGACCAAGCTGGAAAATATCATGATGCCCATGGCAAGAAACAATATAAGCAGCCCCAGTTCATTGTAGCTCCTTCTCAAAGTAAATCCTAGTGACTGGAGCCCTGTGGAATGCCTGGCCAACTTCAGGATTCTCAATATTCTCATGATTCTGAATATCTGCACCACACGGCGCACATTTTGGAACTTCAGCACACTCTTGTTGGACTCCGTTAGGAAAATGGTGACATAGTAGGGCAGGATGGCCAGTAAGTCAATGACATTCAGTGGACCTTTGAAGAACTTCCACTTGTTGGGAGATGACAGGAAGCGGAGGAGGTACTCCATGGTGAACCATGCAATACACACAGCCTCCACGTGGGCCAGCTGGGGGTTGTCATTGGCGTGGCCCAACTCGTCTGGAACCTGAAGCTCTGGTAAAGTGTTGAGAGACAAGGCGATGGTGGAGAGGACAATGAACAGGATTGATATGATGGCTAGAATCTGAGAAGAGAGCAGAAAAAAAAAACAATTTTAGTTCAATAGTACAAAATTAATCTTATGACTTTCTCAAAATGAACATTTTATTGCTGTGTTGCGCTTGGCAGATCACATATACGTACAAAAGGACTTTAAGGACAGAAGAAAATGCATACAGAAAATTTAAAAGGTGTTAAAAGTGAATGATATGAATCTAATGAAGCTTCTTTTCTTTTCTTGAAAGCTGCTGTGAGTGTGTTCCTGCATATATATGAGAAGCCTATATGCAGATAAGGATTACTGCAAGGGTAAAATCCAAATGTACAAAAGGACACTGTAGGGCAGCAAGCTCACATCAAAATATGTTCCTAATGAATTCAAGCAAAATTACTAGGCCAATGGCTGAACAAAAGTACAGGTAATTTTGTTAAAATAACTATTAAAAGAAACAGCATTCCTTGATGAAATACTGACTACCTTTCATGCCAAAGGTTTATACAAAGATCATGTGACCTGATAGTTCTGAGAACATGTGTTAGGGATGACTCTAAGCTACCACCACACCAAATTTGAGCTGAAAATCTGTAAAAAAATGGACTATTACTGTATTTTTTGACACAGTTTTTTTCCCATTATTTACGTTCCCTGCGACTTATACGCTGAAGCGACGTATTTATGTTTTTTTTCCACATATTATAAACCCATTTTTGTCTGAGATATGCCCGTTTTCATTCATTCTGACTGAAAATATTGAACACTGCCATTTTCAGCCGCTAGATGGCACTGGAATAGTATGACATGCCATTAGTGTCATGTAAAAGGTAAGTGGCTATTAATGACATAATCGGCTTGCCATAGTCTTCCACCTTTGTCCAGCTCGCCTGGAGCAAGCGTCAAATCTGCTTCATTCTGCTGCGCCGCCCAGGGAAATGCAGCTAATTTGACCACTGAAGTGCATTTATTAAGTAATAGTTCAGCTGAGACACACCTTTGCTATAATGTCGAGTAAACAAATAATTGTTTTAGGAGCTTGTCTTGTTAAATTTAGAAGAAATGCGCAGCAACTCATCCCTCAGTGCGCTCCTACTTCCGCGTATCGGCTTTTGAAATGCAGCTGATTTGACCGTCAGTGTGCATTTATTAAGCAAAAGTTAGACTTAGACACACCTTTGCTATAATTTTGAACAAACAAATAATTGTTTTTAAGTGTTAATCTTGTTAAATTCTTGTTAAAGTCCTCCCGTGCATGCTATCCCGGCCACCATTAGGCAGACGATTCATTTTTGGTACAACACTGGCGCACATTTCCAGGTTGTCAGAGGTGACGCATAACAAATGTGACATGTCAGCAGTGACATATAATAGATGTGACTTATACAGCGAAGCAACATATTTATGGATTTTTCCACTTTATTAGACATATTTGGACTGATGCGACTTATAAGGCGGTGCGACGTGTACGGCAGAAAATACGGTATACACATTTTTAGTCTTTTCTGATGTTGACAGATTAACTCTAAGAGTTAATGAGTTGTAGTTGCATATCCAATGATTATTTTCTGAGTGTTTCATTAAAATCCATCAAGTGATAAGTGAGATATTGCATGATCACCCTCCTTTCATGGAAACAGGCAGCAAGTGTTCATTTTAAAAATAACTAAACTGTTCACACCAATTCCAAGTACAAAAAGTGACATCAGTCAAAAAGCCCTTTTGTCTCATATTTTTTCCCGTTTTCATTAAGATAAAAACCCATAATTGCACACGTTTTGCATGTAAACTATTGTTTGTGCTTGTGAAACCCAAACACAGTTTAGTGCACTCTGTTCTGTAAGGGGTTAGATAAGAACATCTGGCATAATCCCATGAGGTCGGCTCTGCATGGGATTCAGCTGCAGCTCTTTATCTTGACTAGGATTTATTGACTGCGATTGATTAAAGCTGGCCTAAGATGTCCTGACTGAGCTTAGATATTTATAAATGTGTGAGTGTGAGCAATCAGATGCAGGACACGTCTGAGTGGCACATGATATGTGACAAGCTAAATATTTAAATCAAACTCCTCTAAGAAGAGTTAATGTCATTTTTTTCCCACAACTTAATTCTAACAAACTCAACTCCAGAGCACATGAATAAAATGTGTCCTCAGCCAGGACAATACAGCAGCACAATTTTATCTAAAATACAGCACGTGGGGAAATTTACATTCTTTTGTGCAGTCGTCTGTGACCTGAGCAATAAAAAATATATTAAAATATATAGAAATGAGAATGAAGAGCCCAAGTCAAGACAGGCAAACAAGGCACTCTGAATACTAATCAAACCCACATCAGAACACACAGATTATTTTAAATAAATATATCCTCTTAAGACTGAAAACACGTACCGTACCTCCTTTTAGAAGTCCTTAATTTAACTATTATGTATAACTGAATTTTAGGAAATCAATTCCAATGTTTTGGGATTAGCCCTTTCCATGTTCTATCTATAGGACAGTGATGGCTTTCACAGAGGTGTAGAGAAAAACAAAGTGATGGCTCAGCACAGGAAGTGTTATCACTAAATGAATGCTGGTACTGATTAGCTTAAACCTATTAGCAGCTAAGTGAGTCGACATGGGCAGGACTGGCACTCGGCTGAGAAACTGTGGGGTCATAGTAAAAACGCAGATCACATCCGTGCCTCTGAACTTTTTGGCAAGCTTCTTAGTAGCTCATGTTCTTCTGCCAAGTGACTCAAGCAGGTGACCTCTGCAAGGTAGAAGGAAAAAAAAAGCTGCAAGCATGAGAGGATGATTCGGCTTGTGCTAAAGGTTGCATTGCCGATTTCTCAAATATTTTGTTGCGTATCTGCTTTGTTGATATTTTAATTCCTCTGAGGCCAAGCGGTGTTTATTCTTGCACTGCTTACAGGCGATGATGATGCTTTTGCATGTACAAGTGTACAAGTGTGTGCACTGGCTGAATTTTAATTAAGCTCACAGCAAATCATTGGATCTACAACAGATTCATATTTGGGGTCAAGATGGCTGCCCCAGCTAACTGACCTTAAAAATCAAGGAACACAGCACACATCATTTAAACATTGTTCTGCACTTTCACAAACAGCTACTCTGGTTTTAGAGATGCTGAGATGACTCGTGTTAACCCGTGCTGTAACTGAGTGGGAGTAGTTTAGAGGCTCACTTACTGTGTCCTTTCCCCCTGATTTGCATGTGCTGCTGCATTAAGAATAGCATAAAATGCTGTGCACATTGGATTAAAAAAAAAGACGGAAATGAGGCCAGTAAAGCCAGTTGACCCGAGGGTGACCTGGTAGATGAAGGCTAACGGAGACAAGAAATGGAGTAAGATATTCAATACCTACTGAACCTGTGGTGGTTTCCTCTTGCCAGGAGTTCAAAGAATAAAATAACTGAGATTAAAGATTACATTATTTTAATACAGGAATCAGTGCAGTGCCAAAACCGTACTTTTCTTTAAGTCTCCCTTAGATTTTTTTTCTTCTCATGAGGATGATATGATAATCAGGTCATGGACAGGGCAGTCAATGGCAGCTGATTGGCTTAGACAAAATGGAAATGTCCTCAGATGATCATGTGCGACATGCTTTAATTGTCCGTGGCCGTTTTAGTTGCTGCACTGTCTCTCTGTCAGCGGCTCCACCGGAACAAGCCGCTTTGCACGACTGTGCTGAAGATTCGCAACAATCTGACATGAAACATGAAAGACATGACATGAAACACGGACATAAAAGACAGATGGGACAAAGAGAGACAATGTTACTATGTCACGTGGCTTTTACACAATTCTCTGATGACTTCCTTTAATACTTGGCCCTTCACTATTAAGCACAATCATGAAGAGACAGATCACTCAAACGGATAAGTGGTGGCTCAAATCCCGTGTAAAAAAAGTACCGGTTAAAGCAGCTGTTTGGGAAAATTATTTATTGATATATTTATTGACTTTTCATCTGCAACTGTATTCAGCCCCGCATTATAACGGAGAAATTACAATGTCTGTACAGTGTAGACTCTGGCCTCGGCTTGAGGACTTTCAAACTGTTTGGTCACAGTGGGTGAGGGTCAACTGGGTGTCCTTCTGTCGTTTACTGGTGCTTGCGCCCCTTTTATTCATTTTATATACAAATGATTTTTGTAGCCAGTTCCCAAAGCGTCACATCTTAAAGTTTGCTGATGACACTCATCCTGCCCCTTCTCAGCAGTGATGACTCAGACCCTGGACCTGTGGTCGGGGACTTCAATGAATGGTTGAGTCCTCCTTTTTTAAAAGTAAATGTTCCTAAGACAAAGGAGATGATCACTGATTTTAGAAAAGACTCTTCAGTTGTCACTCCTGTGGTCATTAATGGTGAAGCTGTTGCGATGGTGCAACAATATAAAGATCTGGGAACTGTTCTGACCTTTGACCCCAATGTGAACTCCCTTTGTAAAAAGGCCCACCAGAGAATATATTTTTATCGAAAGCTCTGTGGTTTTAATGTTGACTCGACTTTTATGAGAATGTTTTATTCATGTTTTATTGAGTCTCTTAACTTTCACCATCTGTTGGTTTGGATTGTTAACATGCAAAAACAGGAACAAACTCTCGGGGATTTTCAGGATTTGCAGCAAAAATGCCGGCATAGCCCAAAAGAACCTCACTGACCTACACAAGACAAGGTGAGTGAACAAGGCCAGGCTGATTCTGGCAGATCCTGATCATCCGCTCCATGGTGAGTTCCGGTTGCTTCCATCTGGACGCAGGTATCTGCTGCCCAGATGTAGAAAGAACAGACCCAAAAACTCATTCATCCCTAGAAGGAGCTTCTCAATGCACATTGATGACTTAGTCCCTATTGTTATTTAATGTCTTAATGTCTTATGTAGTATGGATGTTTTTATATCTCTACTGACTGAAACTAATTGCCCCTCGGGGATGATAAAGATACTTGAACTTGAAATAGCTTACGTGCCTGAAATAAGTGTATCTACTCTGGGAAACCAACACCCACACACTCAC